ACGGGGTGGGCTCCCGTTAATCATTAGGCTCCCTTCATCATTGGGTTCCCTTCATGTTTCCTTTGTGGGCGGTTCCATTGGGCTCCCTTCAGGTTTCCTTTCTGGGCTCCATGGTCGGATGGGTGGGCCGCGGCGACGGGGTGGGCTCGCTCCCATTGGGCCCCCTTCATCACGGATGTCATCACCACCCATTCTTCTTTTGCACAAGAATATTGCCTAATGCCTAAACATCTGGTTCGCAGCATCTGCTGGCGAAGACAGATTGTGTTCCAACCTGCCTGAACCGGCATGATTCGATGCATTCTGTTTGGGGTCTTCACTGGTGTAATCCTTTGTGTAGGATTAGGCTGTGCATTGAGAGCGGTTGGACATGATATGACATGAATGAAGATTTTTCTTCGAAGGGTTGTTTCAAGCATGTTGCAGGGCTTGGGTTGTTTCTTTCAAGTGAGGGTCGAAGTTTGTTCCACACTGGGGCTTTGCTTTGCTTTTGGCACCTCTGTTACAGGACCTCACCAGAAAGAAGACCCCGGAAAGGGACCCTGATTCTTAGAAAAGCACCCTGGTTCAGCATGATAGATACCAAAGCATTCTGTTAGTACTGACAAAGCATGAGGAAGGCTTGGAGTAGAAGCACCGAGCCCTAAGCCCTGTTAGTACACATGCAACCGCTTGCTCAAGGGGTCAGGGCCCCGCTGGCTTTATTCTTCGGACCAGGCTCGTGCGTAGGTTTGACAGCTTGTTGGGCCTTCTTGGGATTTGCAGGCCCGGTAACATAGTAGTGATGGCAGCATGTGCACATTTCCGGAAGAATAGGGACCCTAATGCAGACCTGAACAGGCAGAATCCTGGAAAGATGGATTGCAAAACGGGACACCCGTATCTTAACAAGCCCATCTCTTTTTGGGATGGTCTTGGGCTAACCTGGTCATACCTGTGGTTAACATGTTGACGCTGAGCTGGGCTGCGTTTGAGATGGCCTCTTAGCTTCGTGGGCTACGCCTTGGGCTGAGGTAACTTTAACGAGGCATGCCCACAAAATTTCGCACTCTAGCGGAAACTCTCATTTCATTTAGTTCGGCAGACGGAACGAAGAAACCTGGTCTGGCAAGTTCGCATCAGACCGTGATGGAGTTGGTGCGGACGAAGACACTCCTGGACTGGGGACGTGTGCTGTCCTTGTCGGAGAAGCAGCAGCTTGGTGCAGGAGGGGCCGTTCCACCGAAAATTTTGGCTTCAAACCGCGCTCCAAACTCTGAAACCCGAAGCCTAAACTAACCGTCCTCAAGCTTTGAGGGTTTAGCTTAGGGCCGGGGGTCTAGGGGATTGGGGTTAAGGGGTGGTGGGGGTGGTGGGGGTGGTGGGGGTGCAGGCTTGGTGGCTGTGGCTTTGGAGTTTAGGGAGACCCTAAACCCTAAACCCTAAACCCTAAACCCTTAAGTCCTGAAGGCTTAAGGCCCAGAGCCTCAGCGCGAAGTTCCGGCCTCAAGCTCCCCAAATTGTCAAACTTGGGGGCCGCCACAACCCGTGAACCGTAGGGGATTTAGGGGGTTTAGGGGGTTTAGGGTTTAGGTTGTAGGGTTTAGGGTTCAGGGCCTAAATAAGTAGAGGGTCGGTTTGGGGGACAGAAAGACTTATTAGGGACTTAGGGTCCAGCATCTGCTGCTCAAGGCTTACGCAGCTGTGTTTTTTCCGGGCACGGGATGTAGGATTTTGCCAGGTTGCAAGCTGCTGCGGCGATGCGCAAACGCCCGGCTGTAGAAAGCACGTGCTTGAGCATTAGGATGTAAACCGTTGAAGTTCAGATCTATGCCCACATGTCCCACTAAGCAACATCGAAAAGGAATGTATCCGAGCCTCGCAATTCCTCCTAGTCGGTAGGCCAGCTTGCAGTTGAGCCTGCGCCCGTCAAATGTATGTACGTATGAACAGAAAGAGTAAATAAGCAACTGAACAAACTATATGTATGCGTGTGTACATACAGGGACAAATGCATACGCATTTTCTTTGCATCGTTTGCACTGTACTGATCGGAAGCCGGAAAGCCCTAAACCCATCTTGAATACCCAATGCAGCCGACTAATGCATGCGGGCCCAGGAAGATCTCTCTGGCGAGGGCAGCGCGGTCCTCGGGAGGGTTGGGCCTTTTAGGGATAGGGTGCGGGTTCTGATCTCCGATAGTTGCTATGTTAACGGTGAGAAGCCTCCCTCCGTTGGTTCCCTCATCTGGGAAACCCCACCGCCGAAGAGCAACTTACGTATGCTGGCAGACTCACAGACAGCGCTTGCAGTGCTCGGGTCATCAGGGACGAACGTCCAAGAAGGACCTGGATCCCAAAGCCAAAGCTCAATCCCTATGCCTTCCTGCAAGGGCTCCCGGTCCCTTGCTGCCTTCACGGGTTGCAAGGGATCCTGTGTAGG